AGCCAAGGGATCAGGCGCCCTTAGTAGCAAGATAAGACCATCACCATGCCCACATGGTTCCTTACCTGTCACCCCAAAACTTCTGGAAGTGGGAACATTGTTGAACAGACTATTAGTTGATGATTGAATATGGGACCCAGCTTGTTTTTTCCAGATCAGCAGAATACAAACTACCCCCCCCCCTCAATGTGACATTCTTTCAAATATTTAAATATGGCTATCATATCTCTGCCCAGCCTTCTTTTCTCCAAATTAAACATACCCAGATCCCTAAGCCATTTCTTGCAGGGCTTCCTTTCCAGACCTTTGATCATTTTGGTTGCCCTTCTCTGGACACATTGTAGTTTGAGAATTTCCTTCTCGAATTGTGGTGCCCAGAACTGGAAACAGTATTTCAGGTCTGACCAAAGCAGAACAGAGTGGGACTTTATGAATGGGGTTGATTTCCATACATTTGGTTAGGAAAGGTTGGCTTGTTTTGAACACTCCGTCTAAGCTTTACTTATTGTGATAATTCTCAATATCTAAAAGTACTTCTATAAAGCAGGTTTTTTTTCTTATATGTTCCTAGAAGTCAAAAAGGATGTAATTTTCCAAAGAGAAAAAGTTGTGCTTGGAGCTAAGCCCTCAAACGCAGGCAGGGGAAATTGGACCACCCTGAACTCAAAATATGGGCACATTGGTGGAACGTTCTTTTACCTTAACTTATGAGATAAGTTAAGGCTCTTTATAGAGCCTTTGGTTCTCTATAAACAACCTATGTTTATAGAGAATTAAGCCAAAATTAAGACTGATGGAGCTGTACCACACCAACGATTCCACCACAAGTGATACCCAGGAGAAATGTCTAAACAGGTACACCACTTTCATGGTCTTTGTTTCAACTTCCAAAGAGAGCCAAGACAAAAGTGTACCCTACTCTCTGATACTGTGGACTATTTCACCTTGTGTGAGTGTGGCCCCCAACAAACACTGGATGTGGCAATGAGTTTGTGCACCCTGATTTGAAAAGGATTTTTTTCTCCAGTCTAGCTAAATGCTGGCTGGGATAAAATGATGCTAATAGCTTTAAACATCTGTGTCTAGAGGGGAAGGAGCAAAATTATTGATATATTTGAAATATGTGTTAGTCCCATAGAGATAAAATAATATTGACAAATTAAAACAGATCAATGAGGCTGCTGGAGATGGAATCGGTGCACCTACAATGTAGAAATGATACAGTTTGACATCACTTTAATTGCTATTACAAGGCTCTGGAATCCTGGGAATTGTACTTTAGTGAGATACTAGCGCTCTTTGGCAGAGAAGACTAATGGCACGATTCCATAAAACTGACCCACAGTAGTTAAAGTGACATCAAACTCCATTAATTCTACAGTGTAGAACTGTGGTTCCCAACCTTTTTTGACCAGAGACCACTTTGATCAGGGACCACTCTCCAACATTAGTAGCAAAAGAGTTACAAGCCGATTTTTGGTCAACTTTAGATTCGGTTTGATTATTTGGGGTGTTGATTCCAAAACAATATTTAATAATCTAGAGCTGATGTGGTAGTAGTAATCTTTAGTGGGTAGTCAGCCTCTCCTTTCCCAACATCCTTTTGCCTTGGCACTATAAGAGGATCTGTGAGCCCAGTTGCTCTCGTTGCCGCATGGTTTCGAGGCAACGGTGTAGTAGTGGTGAGGCCGCTGACCATATTTTCATTTTTTGTGGACCACTGGTGGTCCAGACCACAGATTGGGAATCACTGGTGTAGAAGATACACCCCATGTTGACTTGAGTCCTTAGAAGTGAGATTCCTGCACATGGAAGTTCAATGGAATCCATATAAATTGAAGAGTTGAATTCTGTTCAGAAAGTTAACTGTCTTTTAATCTTTCTGTGAGCTTTATACAATCTTGATTTGCTTTGAGCCAAACAAATTGCTGTTTTAGTGAAATTTTACAATATATGGCAACCATTTATAATAATATTAATCATATTCAGATTTGCCACTCTGTAATAAAAAATCTATAATCCTGGAGAGTCTTAGCAAGAGAAACAAAAAAAATTATCCCCTGCTGCTTCATTGTGGCACAAACCTTCCAGGCAACAAGCAAAATTCCACATTAGAGTATTTCCAGACAAAGGTTTTATTGCACCAGGAATTTGCAACCTGTATTCAGATGTTGCAAGGATTCCAAATATTACTCTACAAGTTATCCCTTCCACTACGGAAGGGTGGGAATCTAATGCTGATACCAGCTGATACTTCCATTACATGCAAATAATATTTTCCAAACCAGCCACCCTTTTTTGTTGTTGAGAAAATGGAAGGTTCTCCTCTTAGTTTTTAAAACATTTTATTAACAAATGTTCAATTTTAATAGAATTCTAAAAGTAATACAGCAGTGAAGAAGACGGGCTGCAGAACTGGAAAAGATATAAACTTTATGACTTAAATAAGCTAAGGAGCCTGCAATTGCAATGTATTCTCATGGAATATCAATCTACGAATCTATGAATAATCCAACAATTTTATTGAAATATATGAGATTCCATTTACATAGGAAGTCAATGGGTACCATTCTACATAAAAAGGAAAAAGCTGTATGTCAGCTTGCACAGATGTGTTGGTAGGGGGAAAAGCCTTCAAAAAACAGAATTGCAGCATTTCAAGTATCGGAAAATAGAGAAAATCGGCCCATTGTTCCATTTGTCTAATGGAGCAAAGAGACCCATTTTGTTCCATTATAAACTACATCTGCCTTTACTGGTGTACTGGAACTGGCATTGCATCACTTCCTGTTGCCATTTTCTGGGCTAGTTTTGGCATGAAGAAGCAGGCGGGTGATTTTTGGAGGTTGCCAAACGTGATTTGGTTGTAAGACTGCAGCAAAAATTGGAGTTTAAAAATCAATGGGTTTTTGGCTTTAGCAGGGCCCCAAATATGTGAATTCTGGGGACAGCCCAACTCATAGGCTACGTTTTCTTCATTTCTGTTTTAACATTTTTCAGAACTGATCATAAATAAGCCATTATTCTGGTTTGGAAGCAACATGTACCTTGCATCCACCACAGGCACCTACTGTCTAGTACCCAAAACAAAGCTTTCCAAATATGTAATGCTGGTGACACTTTTTAGACATGCATCATTTCGTAACGCAGTAGTCCGCTTTTACTAGCAAATGAAAGGTTAAATCAACCTAATAAGGGATGTGGACACTGGCATAAATTGTAATAATGAAATGTATGGGGGCACAATGTATCTCATAAAAACCTTTCATAGATTTTTAAAAAAATACAGGATATGTTGCTTATTTCATATACTCTCAGAGGGTTCTCATTATGTTCACGTGACACACCTACGCTCAGCAGGCGTCATACTAGCACACAATTTTGAAAGCTCTGGCCTACAACATCACAAGAGAGAAGGTGTATACCAGGGGTCCTCAAACTTTTTAAACAGAGGGCCAGGTCACAGTCCCTCAAACTGTTGGAGGGCCAGATTATAAATTGAAAAAAATATCTGTTTCGTCCTGTAATTTTAACTCCAGCCTTGGATTCATCAAACCCTGCACGTAGCACAGGGGTCCTCAAACTAAGGCCCGAGGGCCGGATACGCCCCCCCCCCCCCCAAGGACATTTACCCAGACCTTGCTCAGGGTGAACCTAAGGCTGAAACGACTTGAAAGCACACAGCAACAACAATCCTATCTCATCAGCCAAAAGCAGGCCCACACTTCCCATTGAAATACTAATAAGTTTATATTTGTTAAAATTGTTCTTCATTTTAATTATTGTATTGTTTTTAAGTGGTTTTTTGCACTCCAAATAAGATATGTGCAGTGTGCATAGGAATTTAATCATGCTTTTTTCAAGTTGTAATCCGACCCTCCAACAGTTTGAGGGACTTTGACCTGGCCCTCTGTTTAAGAAGTTTGAAGATCCCTGATGTAGCATGATGTGTTCTGCATACAAGTTGAATAGGTTGGGTGAGAGTATACAAACCCTGCCATACACTTTTCCCAATCTTACACCAGTCTGTTGTTCCATGGTCAGTTCTTACTGTTGCTACTTGGTCCTTATACAGATTCCTCAGGAGAGAGATAAGGTGATTTGGTATGCCCATCCCACCAAGAACTTGCCACAATTTATTATGATTCACACAGTCAAAGGCTTTAGAATAGTCAATGAAACAGAAATAGATGTTTTTCTGAAACTCCCTGCCTTTCTCCATTATCCAGCGGATATTGGCAATCTGGTCTCTCGTTCCTCTGCCTTTTCTAAACCCAGCTTGAACATCTGGCAACTCTTGCTCCATGTATTGCTGGAGCCTTCCTTGCAGGATCTTGAGCATGACCTTACTGGCATGAGAAATAAGGGCCACTGCAAGAAAGTTTGAGCACCTTTATAAATAACCCAGTTCAAAGCAGATCTTGTGGGATTTTTTGCCTTGATTTTCTGGGGCCCTTCCACACAGCCCTATATTCCAGAATATCAAGGCAGAAAATCCCACAAGATCTGCTTTGAACTGGGATATCTGGGCCCACAGTGCCACATAATCCAGTTCAAAGCGACCACGTGGGACTTTATTGAGGTGTGGAAGGGCCCGATGGCAGTGAGGAAGGGGCGCCAAAGTGTATCACTTCGACAAAGTTTCTCTGGGTGTGGATTGTGCAGCTACAGTGTAGATTTGAAGAATGACTGCAATTTGGCAGAGAAGGCTTTGAGCTGCTCGGGGCTCCGGAATCCTGAAGGGTTCCCACGAGGTCTTTCGCCTCCTCTTCGGCCCTCGAGGTCCCCTGGCAAAGGCACCGATGCGCCCGAAGAAGAAGAAGACCGGATTTGGGAGAGAAAGGGAGGGAGGAAGGGGAGGGGAAGGGGAGGGGAGGCTGGGGCCGGACCCGGAAGCGGTTGCGCCCATCGGCGTGTGTGTAGGGGGGGGGAGAGTGGGAGGGGGCTGGGGGTGGGCTGGGAAGGAGAGCAAGGAGAGGAAGGGGAGGCGGCAGGAGAAGAAGTCAAGAGGCAGGCAGAGGCGGCGGGAGGCGCGCTGCGGGGCTGGAGCGTGTTCCTCGGGGCTCGCGATGCCTTCGGACTGCCGGACACGCGGGGCATGGTGAGCCGCCCGCAGCGCCCGATCCCCGCGGGGACCCGGACGGCCGTGGGCGCCCTTCTGCCCCTCCCCCTCCTCCTCCTGCTCCTGCTCCGGAGGGACGCCCACGCGCAGAAAGGTGAGACAGAGAGAGAGAGAGAGAGGCCCTGCCTGCTCTTCCAGGCGTTTCCTTGCCCTCAGAGCGGCTCCTCATCCATTGTGGCCAGTCCTTCCCTGAAAGGCTCTGGATTTGGGGGGAACAGGCGCGCATATTTATGTGTGTGTGTGTCATTAGATTTCGAATCAGGAATGCCATTCATCTTTCATCTGCAGCTTACACATTCAGCCTGAAGTCTTTTGGGTTTCTATCTTTGAGAGGAGATTCCATCTGAACATGAGGAAGAACTTCCTGACTGTGAGAGCCGTTCAGCAGTGGAACTCTCTGCCCCAGAGTGTGGTGGAGGCTCCTTCTTTGGAGGCTTTTAAGCATAGGCTGGATGGCCATCTGTCAGGGGTGATTTGAATGCAATATTCCTGCTTCTTGGCAGGGGGTTGGACTGGATGGCCCATGAGGTCTCTTCCAACTCTTTGATTCTATGATTCTATTCTATGACTAGACTTAATGTCAAGGGGAAACCTTTACTATATTTCATGAGAGAGCTTGGACACCACATTCACTTATGTTCTTATATATACTTAATGCAGGAAGCCTGCAGTGCTTTGTACTTGGGAAATATTTGCATATGTTCCATAAGACAGCTTGGAGATGGGACCCAGGTCTAAACCGAGCACATTTGTGTACACCATATTATGCATATAGCCCACAATGTTTTTTTTTTAACATTTTGCACTTTAAAGAACGTTTGTGAACTTTTAAGGACCAGGAACCAAAGGTGTCACTTCCTTAGCCATATGGATAATAATAATTATTGTGTTGTTGAAAGCTTTCACAGTTGGAATCACTGGGTTGCCCACATCTATGGTAGGCATCCTCAGAGGTTGTGAGGTCTGTTGGAAACAAGGAAAAATGGGTTTATATATCTGTGGAATGTCCTGGGTGGGAGAAAGAACTCTTGTCTGGTTGAGACAAATGTGAATGTTGCAGTTGGCCATCTTGATTAGCCTTGAGTCGCCTTGCAGCTTCAAAGCTTGGCTGCTTCCTGCCTGGGGGAATCCTTTGTTGGGAGATGTTAGATGACCCTGATTGTTTCATGTCTGGAATATCCCTTTTTTCTTCTACCCTGGACATTCCACAGATATGTAAACCCCACTTGCCTAGTTTCCAACAGACCTCACAACCTCTTGAGGATGTCTGCCATAGTTGTGAAACATCAGGAGAGAATGCTCCTGGAATATGGACATACAGCCTGGAAAAATCATAGCAACCCATAATAATTATAGCTATATTATTTTGAAGCATTTTAGATTTCCAGGTACATCTCCATTGTCAAATGAATGTAGTCTGATACCACTTGAACTGCAATGGCTCAGTGCTATGGAATCATGGGAGCTGTAGCTTGATGATGCACGTTGTGGGCAAGAAGGCTATAGGCCAGGTGAAACTACAACTCCCAGTATTCCATAGCATTGAGCCATATATGTTAGAAAAGTGTCAGGCTGCGTTTACTGTAGTGTAGATAATAATAACTTTATTTTGTAGATGCACCCCATGTCTTCTTGCCTCAAGAGGCATTTGCTCTCATCTATTTATGGTGTAGTTTGGGCCCAAAACCGTTGGACTTGGCAAATATTTGCATAGAGGTTATGAGAGTTCATGGAGATGGGGCTTCAAGTCTTAGCATGAAATTTATTTATTTTTCACACACAACTCATATACATAGCTTGAAGTGCTTTGGATTTGGGAAGCATTTGCATATGCTTTGTAAGATATCTTACGGCCCTCCCACACAGCCCTATATCCCAGGATATCAAGGTAGAAAATCCCACATTTTCTGAGTGTGAACTCAGATAACCCAATTCAAAGCAGATATTGTGGGATTTTCTGCCTTGATATTCTGGGATATAGGGCTGTGTGGAAGGGCCCTTAGAGATAATACCCCAAATCTACGCAGGAAATTCAGCTACATTTCATATAAACCTTATTACACATAGCGTGAAGTGCTTTGGATTTAGGAAATAGTTGCATATCCATCATGAACTGTCTTGGAGATGAGCCCGAGGGCCCTTGCACACAGCCATATAACCCAGAATATCAAATCAGAAAATCCTACAATATCTGCTTTGAACTGGGGTATTGGAGTACACACTGCTATATATCCCAGTTCAAAGCAGATATTGTGGGATTTTATTCAGCTAAGTGGAAGGCCTGAGAGGAGACACGAGGAGGAAGCAAGTTTGTATTCTGCTGCCCTGGAGACTAGGACGTGGAACAATGGCTTCAAACTACAGGAAAGAAAGGAAATTCCACCTGAACATGAGGAAGAACTTTCTAACTGTGAGAGCTGTTCAGCAGTGGAACTCTCTGCCCCAGTGTGTGGTGGAGGCTCCTTCTTTGCAGGCTTTTAAACAGAGGCTGGATGGCCATCTGTTGGGGGTGCTTTGAATACAATTTTCCTGCTTCTTGGCAGGGGATTGATGGCCCAAGAGGTCTCTTACAACTCTAGGATTTTATGACCCAAATCTAAATGGCCATATTTATGTTTTTATACACTTTATTATACAGATAGCCCAAAGGTCATTTCATGCCCGATATTTACAAATAATGTTGTTCATTAAACAAAGTGTATGTGTGTTCAAGCATCAGGAACCAAATGTGCCACTATCTCAGCTAACCACTTGAACCATTTGGGAGCATTTTGGATTTCCAGACCAGGGATGCTCCTCCCCTTTCGAACCTCACATTTGCCAGCCCTCAAGCCCTTCATCCTGAAGAGGACGGTTCATAATCCCATTCCCTGCCTCTTAAAGTGAACCTGCAGAGGAAACAAGTGCCTCTTTGGAAAGGAGCCCACGCTGGTAGGGAAAAGGGAGGAAACGCAGATCTTGTTCCAGGGAATGGAAAAGGAGGTCCCTCCAAATGTGTGCAAAATCAATGACTTGTGCAACTTGTGAAGGGCGGTTCTCCCATCTTTCTCTGAACTGTGTCAAAGGCACAGGTTCCTTTCATATAGATCGTAATGTTTCAAGATGTTGATTTCATTGGCAGTAGGCCAGAGATTTTGTTAGCAGTAGGTCACAGCTTCCCAACCCCATGTATGTGTAGTGAATAACTCATATGTGCAACCCATGTGCACAAAATATATTGGTTCCTACACAGAAGTGACTTTCATGGAGAAATATGGCAATGGCTGAACTGAGCTCTAGGGCCGCTTCCATATTATCTGTTTTGAGCTGGAATATATAGCAGTGTGGACTCAGATAACCCAGTTCAAAGCAGATATTGTGGGATTCTCTGCCTTGATATTCTGGGTTATAGGGCTGTGTGGAAGGGCTCTAGGCTCTGTAGCCAGTCTTCAAGTGTTGTGCTTAGCATATTGTACCTTTCAGTGTATTACCTGAAGGGTAACCTCAGGCATATAGATCAGGGCTGGATTTACACTGCCATATAAAATCCAAATTATTTGCTTTGACCTGGAATATATGGCAGTATGGACTCAGATAATCCAGTACAAAGCTGATGATGTGGCTTATCTTCTTGGATAATCTGGGTTTTATGGCAGTGTAGATCCAGCCCAGGCCTTGTGAACAAAGGGAGGGAATAAAAATATATACTGTGTTTGAAGCTTTTCTACAAACTTTCCCTTTTTAGAAACTCCACACTGACCTGAATGCCTAGCCATTTGTTGGATGAAAGAATGCTTCTTCGGATTTTTCAGGGTTAAGGAGGCTGGCTCCTTCCTGAGGAATTTTAAGGAGTGATGCTTGAAATAACTCCCGCTTTCCTTCAACTTTTGAATGTTGAGATAATGTCATAAAGGGTAAGCAGTGTCGAGTCATGATTTAAGATTGGTTTTGATGTTTAGTACTGCTTTTTTGAGAATTTCTAATATAAAGGGAATGCAGATTGACTGGAGGAAATGGTTTTGCAGAAGGGAACCCCTGTGTTCAGTTGCTTTGGCTCCATTTCTGATGTTATTTGTGAGGCTTCAATTAGAAAAAAGAAAAAATTATCAAAGGCTGGGCTGTTGTGAGTTTTCCGGGCTGTATGGCCATGTTCCAGAAGCATTATCTCCTGCTGTTTCGCCCACATCTATGGCAGGTTGAGACCTCTCAACCTCTGAGGATGCTTGCCATAGATGCGGGTGAAACGTCAGGAGAGAATGCTTCTGGAACATGACCATACAGGCCAGAAAATTCACTGAAAATGAAAGCTGGAAAGCCTGTTACAAAAAAATACTAAATGGTAAACTGGAAGTGGCTTTATAGAAGTTGTAGGTTGCTGGATTTCTAATTTAAAATATAATGTAATGCATACACATTGTAATACATTTAAAATACATTATAATTTTAGAACCTCTGGATTAAAATGTTAGTTTGCAAAGCTAGAGCAAAAAGCAATGGCTCTGTTTTACACAGTAATATCCATTGCAAATGGTTTATACTTCTTTAAGGAGGCCTGGCTTCACTGGAGAAAAAGTGAATGGAAATTGGGTTGCTGGGAGTTTTCTGGGCTCTATGGCCATATTCTAGAAGCATTCTCTCCTGATGTTTCACCCACATCTGTGGCAGACATTCTCAGAGACTGAGAGGTCTGTTGGAAACTAGGCAAGTAAGGTTTATATATCTGTGGAATGTCCAGGGTGGGGGAAAGAACTCTTTGTCTGTTTGAGGCAGGTGTGAATGTTGCAATTGGCCACTTGATAAGTATTGAATGGCCTTGCAGCTTCAAGGTTTTGGCTGGTTGCTGCCTGGGGGAATCTTTTGTTGAGAGGTGTTTATATATATTCCACAGATATCTAAACATCACTCGTCTAATTTCCAACAGACCTCTCAGCCTTTGAGGATGTCTGCCATAGATATGGGCAAAACATCAGGTGAGCATACTTCTAGAACATGGCCACACAGCTTGGAAAACACAGAAACCCAGTGATTCTGGCCCTGAAAACTTTCGACAGCACAGTGAACTGAGATGTTTTCTTTTTATAACTGGAAAGTCTTGACCTGGAGAGAATGCTTCCG